CGATTACTCGATTAATCGTAAGAATAATCGATAGATTACTCGATTACTAAAATATTCGTTTACAACAGCCCTAAGCTGAACCCAAACCTGAAGCTAACGGCTAGTCCAAGACGTCCCAAAACTAAAGCGGATTGCTACCATCTTAAAATTACTGGTCTACTAAAAAAACAAAAACTTCATAATGGTTTAGTCACAAGCCATCTTATAAGTTGCTATAACCTTTGTATGTGTTGTTATTCATAGATAACCCAATGAATTTGTACACAGAGGTGGAGCACCATCGATAATCTTCCTGTGTGAAACATAATTTCTACCTGTCACAGAAATATTCTTCCTGTAGAACGGTATGAACCTTTTGAGATCCAAGTTGTATGAAACAGAAGTCTGTATGAACACTAGGTTTTGCTATATTTCAGCATTTTTGTTTTTTATCAGAATTGTAGTCTGCCTGTAGTTTTCCAAATGCTTAATTAGTCTCGTTCAACTCGCACTTATCTCTTTGCAGTGGGGGATGGTTACTAACAGCGCGCGCAACTTCCGGTAAGACTCTGTTCAGACAAGGAGCAGGTTTTTATCGGACCAAGTGAATGCTGTTTTATTGATTTTTACACTGCCTTACTTTTAGTTAGACGCAAGCGCAAAGTTAGGTACGCCTCATGAGATGCTACACAGTGGGTTCAAATGTACAAGACAAGAAGGGAAGCATTTAGGTGTTTTTTAAACATCATGTTAGACCTCAACCATTAGGAAACTCTCTGTATGCGTTTCACGCAGGACAATCACTGGTGGAACACTGCCCCCTCCAACCTCAATTTCCTGTGGAAATAATTATCAGCTCTTCTTCTGCAAATGACCACCTAATGTAAACACAGCAGAGGTTCAAACATTTGTATAACAGTGTTCACAGAGACCCCAATGACATTTAGTCAGGCGGGAATTGTTTGAAGAGGGTGGATGTCCACACTGACATTAGCTTCTGTTGAACTACCATCCAGCTTTAGCCTCCAGATCCAACTAATCTGGAGTGAAACTAATTAAAGTCACCAGGAGAGTTATCAACCCAATAAGTTAACTGAGCCTCAAGTCAAAACTTGCCACCAAAATAAAAGTGCAGCTATTCATTTTTGTGTGTTTTTTTATTTATTTATTTATTTATTTTTAATCAGGTCGATTTTAATTTTTAGTCGCATCACGCCACTTGGGCAGCTTTCCACCTTCGTATTCCAGTCCACAGAAAAGTGTTTTAGGAGGTGAAGAGTTAAACAGCATATCGAAATGGGAAGTAAAGCTCTGGGATTTCTGTTCAGTCATGATTCGGATGGCTCCCCATCCCTCTCATGACTGCGTCTGAATTTTGCATGAAGGGGACACAATACTTGCGAGTTGCACAAAGGAATCGCTTTTCAAAAGGAAGAAACCCGACTGCAAGCGGTCTTCAAGAGACGGGGCACAAATGAACAGTTGTGGGAAATTAAGCTCAGAACCCAAACATGCAATTAAAGCCCTTCAATCCCTTTTTCCTGAGATTCAAACATCAGGCAAGCCTTGACATAACCTAGTTAGGAGATGAAAGAGTGGCGAGTGAATGACTCTCAGGTGGAATTGGGTGACCCCCTCCCAGCGCGAGATTAGCCCATTAGCAAGAGAAGAGCCCCCACTTGCCCGACAAGTAAGACCAGCTGTGACACCGAGGCACTGTCTGTCTGTCGGTCTGTCTGTTTGGGACGGGCAGTGCAGGAGGGAGTGGTGGTTGGGGAAGTGGTGGTGGGGGAAGGGTGGAGCTGAGGCAGTGAACAAAAAAACAGATGCATCTTTCTGGAGTATTTGTCCCAGGACTGACTCCTGCTTTCCTGCTGTATCTGGTTGCAAGCAGTTGCTCGGACTTTTGAAGCTCCAGCACTCGCAGCTGTTATAAATGTGATCTCTTCAAATCAAATAAACCCCAACAGTTTGTGAAACAAGCTATGCAGCAGCCTTATTACTGCCATTCCCAAATGTTTAGCAAGAGGTTTTGAGTAGTTTTCTCACATCGTGTTAATCACTGTGACTGCTTTTCTCACGATCTTGCGAGCAAAGACAAAATGTTTCAACTATTTAATTGCTCACATCATGACCAACTCTGGAGGACATCTAAAAGCCCACGGCACACAGCAGCAACACAATGACGTAAAGCCATTAAGAGACCTCTTTCTTTTTCCCTTTTTTTTTAAATTTCCATTCAAATGAAGCACCTGGATTGGGCTGAAAGGTGCTTTGCGGTGTTCTTTTACAACAACAGGCGCCACTGCTGAGCAGCGAGGCGAAGGGAAACAGAGTGGGATCAACCTCCCCGCCCCTCTCTTATCCCAGGAAATGCTCTGAGCTTATGGCTTTCTGCTTGCAGCCAGGCGGAGTGATGAGAACACATGGTGCTGCTACCTGTTGACCCAACAAGAGCAGACAAAATGGAAAACTACAAAGAGCCGCAGACATGTCCACAAATGCAAAGCATGTGCAAAACACATAGGCGCACATCCTTTGTCCATATTTAAATGCATTCCCTCCTCATAAAAGAAGACAATCACTTTCACCACATACTTTCTGGCTTAAAAACAAAAGATTCCACTTGATTTGCTAAAACTAAAGGCTCCATTCACTCACACAAGCCTACACTCCTGCCAACATCCCTATGTGTAATTACTAGACAGAGCATGTAAGGAATGCTTCCCTCGCACGGACAGCCCATAATTATCATAAATCATGCAGGAGCCCGGCATCATTCGGTCTCAACAGCCTGCTTGTTAACAAGGACAGAAAACACACACGGAAAAATGACTCATGTTAATGAGATCATCATAATCATTGAGCACATATCAGGAGTGAGTGATGACCACCTCACAGATCCACAATGTGCACATAATGACTTTATAGATAGTAATAAGTCACCTATCGATATAAGCCGGGCATTTTTTTTTAAAATACGGTAAAGAGTTGATATTGATTTTTTTAAAAAGGGTAAGTGAGGGAATCATAGTCAAATGTAGATGTTTGAAGGACCTACCCTAAAGCTTGTCTAAAGCAAACAGGCTATCAGCGAGAGCTCAAACTTAAGAATGTGATTTAAAAACCTCGTCTTTTCTGTTTATTTCTTGTTGTTGAAGTTGTGACTGCACCTGCGAGGAAGAGAAAGCACTTTTCACGCATTTACCTGCGTCCACCTCTCCTACCACCATGCAGTAACCCCCGACTAATAAAAAAATTAGCTTACCTTGGCACAGGAGCGCGGAGAAGAGGAGGGACAACAAGTGCATCATCCTGGCTATTCTCACAGATCCTTAGTCAGCTTTGTTTCTGATTCGAAGGTTTGTTAAAACCCACTTCACAATTTTATTTCTTTTACTGTAGTTATTTAAGCAGGTGGATTAAATCAAAGAGTCCTCGCGCGCCCGGCTCGCTTCACTCGCTCGCGCTGGTTAGTCTTGGCTCCTCTCCCAACGTGGCATGTGCTCGCCAACTCGCGCTCACATCAGCTCTGCTCAAACAGGTAATTGCAAGGGGCTCGCAGACGAGCGCGAGGGCGGAGGATCCAGCGCGCGGCTCCGCCTCCGATACTCACCCCCTGCCCGCCTCCCCGCTCTCTCCCTCCCTGCTTTCCCCCCTCCAGCAGCACTCCCCTCCTTCCTCCCACACACGTATATATAAGTGCACCCCCATCACACCGGCCTCCTTAAGCCCCCCCTCCCCCCAACCCACCACCGCCTCTCTGTACTCTCTCATCTCCAACTCCTCGTTTCTCTCCCTTACCCTCATCTCATTCATTCACTCTCATCCTCAGTCTGCACACACATTTAGAACTCAAAGGGGCACTTGGAGGAAAGCAGCACTTCTTAAAAAAAAAAAAACGAAAACAACTCCCACCTGCTTTTAAAAGTTAATCACAGGGAGGGTAAAGCTAACAGGAGTAAGAATATAATAATTGAGGTGATGAAAAAGTTTGCTTTGCAACAATTTCATGGGATAGATTATTCAATTATTTTAAGAAGTATGATTTATTCAGTAACTTACCAACATAATGTAAACACAGCAACAGTAAGAAGAAGGAAGGCAATAATAACAAAACTGCTACTAATAGTAATAATAACCATAATGGTAATAATTGTGACTTTGCTATAGCATGTTTTAAAATGTTCCATAATTCTGCATTATTGTGATTATACATTTACAATTAGTCAAAACAAGTAATGTTTATCATTTGTAAATTTTCTTTACTGGTATACCAATACATGTAATGATAATACAGAAAGATTGCTAGTCTATAAGAGGCGACAAGTAATCACGCGCACGCACGCACGCACGCACACACACACACACACACACACACACGCACACACACACACTCCGTTACCTTAAGGCATTGTTGTTATACTAGTCTTCAGATGCACAACCCCATAAAACAAACTGTGATGCACCATCTACAGTGAGGCCCTGCTACTCGCAAGAGATTAGGGACCACAAGAGTCTGTGACTAGCTAAAATTCACAAACACTTTGGATCCTCTCTAAAAATCACACATAACTGCATATTTTAACAGTTCCAAAACCAGATATACCTTAACAGGGATTAACCCATCTATTGCTAAATTTTTTTCCAGACATAGAAATGTTAAAATCATGTATTATTAGCAGCTCTTTGAAGTAAACAAGAATATATACATTTAAAAATGGTTGAAATATATATGAAAAAGTGTTTATGACCAGTGGATGAGCTAAAAGTGGTTTTCACCAGATAATAAAGATCATAATATGTCAACATTGTTCTTTTATTTGAACATAACTTGCCACAGGATTAATTTACAGCAACATCTGAACTGTTAAGTACATATTCAATACTTTCTAGTAACAATACTAGAAAGTGTTGTTACTTTCTAGCCAAGGCAAATTAGACCAACATATAAAGAACTCAGCTCTTGAGCAAAGTGCTTCACTGCTCACTCAACTATACTGAACTTCAGTCAGTAATGCTGCCATTAGAGTAACATAGAAAATAAAGATAGCATCTATAGTAGAGTGCTTCATTTATACTGATAAAAATAATTAACATTTATCGCTCAGTTTTCCAGTAAGACTCACTGAACATCGTCCATGGGTCTTCAACTCCTTTCTGCGTTGTTCTGCAACTTTTACATATCTCTCTGCTTCAACACGCCTGAATCAAATCTCAACATCATTGGCAGGAGTCTGCAGAAACCTGACTGAATACTGGGGAAATAATTCAGATGTTTGATTCATTTGTGTTGGACCAGAGACACATCTGGTCGTCCATTTCAGGCAGACTCCCACAGTATGAAGCAGGTTTACACACACATAAACTAGCAATATTTAATGTACTGAGGAAGGAATTTCAAATGAAGAGAACAAAGGTCATCGACCGAGGGTGCATTCACATGAGCCTCGTCTAGCCAGCTTTAATTAAACTTTAGTCCATTTGTCTCCAAAGTCCAACTTGTTTGGGGAGGTGTGAGTGCGCAATCAAACTCTGATGCGGTCAAAAAACACAAACTCTGGTCCGCCTAAAAACCGAGGTATCAGTTCGACTAAAGTGAACTCTGGTAAGGTTTTAAAGCATATGTGGATGGGAGCAGACCTGAGATGACTAAAAAAGCAGGAAACTTACTACAGTGCAGGACATTCTGGGTAAATCGAACCAAAACAGAAGGAGGAGTCTAATGCTAGAGGAGGAAATGGTTTTGTGGTCTTTTACCACAGACAAAAGAGAAATCCTACAACCACTAAAATCTGATGCCACTCCATTTGGATTGACATTTTGTGAGGAAGGAAGTTGTGCACGTCTTCTGAAGTTTTCCTGTCGCTTCCCTCAGTGGTTCTTGGTGCAGCGCCACCACAGGCAAGGAGGTGAACAGGTTTCTCAATTAGTTTGGATCGCTTTGACACAGTGCAATGGGAAAGAGAACTGAACCAGCTGAAAATGGTAAAAAACATTGCAATTTTGGTTCCCAATTGAACCGAATCTACCAGACAATCAGGTGTGTAAACACCCCAAATCGATAAACTTCAAGAAAATGTTTGTCTTTTTGGACTAGTTTGAGTTGTCAGAAAAATGTCAACAGTTTCTGAAAGCTAATTATTTGTGCTTTATAACCAACATAGACTTATCACGCTAATCTTTCTTCGGCTATTGGAGGAAGCCCGTGAAACAACCACTCTCTTTATTCCTCCTCCGACAGAGACACAGAACGAACACCTTTTTGAGCAGCTTCTGGTTGATTAGAATTATGTTATGTAGGTTCTATAGTTTTGACTCAACAGTGAGTCAGTCTACATTGCGTCAGTCTCAGGGCCTCCTAGTGACCGTGGGATCCTAACCGTCTACTTCATGGCAAGTCCGGATCTGCTTGTCATCCATCCATCACAAGTTGGACCTTGTCAAACTCGCACAAAACCTTACACGTACCAACTTTCAGACAGCTGGTGTGCTTGCTTAAACTTTAATAGTTTTAATGCCCTCCAGAATACCCGTTTCTGGTGTATTATTTAATAGCAGAATTCAAAATTTTCTCCTGGAATCTGGCCATTTTTAAGTGATTATCCCACCAGACTGCTATGTTGAAAGAGAAAAGATAGCAAGGTGACATTTTCACTTTTTTTTCCCAGCAGTTTGACTCCAAAAATTACATAGTTTAGTCATTCAAGAGAATGAAAGAAAGAAATGTTTCTGCTTTTAAACATCTGACATACCCTCACAGCAACTACAGAGAATTTTTCTGCCTGCTACGATAAGTGATGTGTTTTTGTCAAAAGAAAAAAAAAATGTTCTGAACGCAACAGTGCTTGGAAAACGAGTCATGAAAATGTCCCTTTTTTAAATTTTAGATAACTTTTGGTTTTGAAACAATATTTCACCATTTCTCAGCTTAGTAGGAACACTATTCCAAAGACTCTCCAGATTTAGAAGAAGATAAGGTTGGAGTTTAACAGTTTGCCACCCAAAGCATTTTTAGGGAGTGAGGGGCACCTAGGATGCTTTTAACGGCCATCCAGTCCTTGTAAAACCAAAGCAAATGTGCTGTCGGCACCCTCAATGCAAAGTCTGAAATTGTTCCCAGTCCAGGTTGGACTCTGCCGGAGGTGCATCTTGTCACTGATCCGCTTTGCAGTGTTGACAGACAGGTTTTCTGTGTGTCGTTGTGGAGAAGAGGGGTTGTGGTTTGGAAGCCTCTGGGTCTGATTTATGTTTTTTGCAGACGATGTTGTTTCGTTGTTGTCTTCACATAATCACCTTTTAAGTGCACTTCCGTGGTTCATGGCTGAGTGGGGGAAGCGGTCTGAGGCGACGGTCTCAAACGGAAAAGGTAAAATGCTCCCGCCGGGTCTGGTGGGAGTCTCCGTCTGAAGTGGATGACGCAAAGCATCTTCGTGTCTCACTTGAATGATGGAAGAAAGTACCAGAAGATAGACGAATCGGAGTCTTACTTGCAGTAATGAATAGATAGCTCAGGGCTGTCATGGTAAAATAAAGATCTGAGCCAAAAAGCAAAGCTCCTGATTTACTGACCCTCAGTTACAGTGATGAGATTGGGATTGTGACTGACACAACAAGATCCCACAGATCAATGGCTGAAATGAGCTACCTTTGCAGGTTGGGAGGACTCACCCTTAAAGACAGATTGAGGAGCAAAGAGTAGAGCACCACTGCTTTTCCACACCCAGGGGAATCACTTGAGATGCTTCTAGCACCTGTTAAGGTACTAGAAGGTTTTCTGAGTATACCTCCCAGAACAGAGAGTCTGAAACAAACCCAGTCATCACTGTAGAGACCATGTAACTTATGGGATGGCATCCTGAGAATTAACCAGACAGAGTTCATTATTGTTGCAACCCTGACCATACTCTTCATGAGACAGTCATAGAAAAACAGAGCGTCTTCAGTCGGAGGCTTCTTCAAATTCGTTGCAACACAGACCACTACAGGAGAACTTTCCTTCCCACAACCATCACCATCTACAATAACACTTTAACATTTTATTTCACTTTGGGATCAATAAAGCATTTCTGAATTTCAACTGATGCATTGATGTATGGATGAGTAAGAAGTGCAAAGTAACTTAAAGCATTTGTTCAACAGATAGAAACTTTAGTTATATTACTGCCCTGTAATATAACTAAACTGGAAAGTGTGCAATTGGTTTAGGGTCCAGCTGTATGATAAAACTTTAGAGGAATGGCTCGGATTGGTATGAATCAAAACTCCAATCAAACTGGATTTGGTGATATTGGATATTAATTTGACCTATTTGTCTTGGGAAGCGCCTAGAGATGGCATTAGTTGTGAATTCGTACCATATGAATAAACTATATCTGAAACTAAATCCAACTTTAATAACCTTCATGTTTCCAAAAACTGTTCAGTGTCTGATCATGCACAGGAAAAAGTTAAAGAACGAGGTTTCCAAAATGCAAGGGGGGGAAAAAAAAAAACTTAAATTTGACACCAAGGTAATTGCTCAGAGATCCCATCAGAGAAATTAGGTATTTTTAACCTGCAAAAGAATG